GGGGGGATGGGTTGGCCTGGTGATGGGTATTAAAGAGGGCACGTACTGAATGGAGCACTGGGTGTTATACGCAATCAATCATGTGACACTACATCAAAAACTAATAATGTAATGTATGGTGATTAACATAACATAATAAAAAAAAAGTAACAGGAAAGTTAAAAAAAAAAAAACTTTGCAGATCAACCAATAGATAAATAAATAAATAAAATAAGGTAAGACCAACTTGAAGACTTATGTTCACATGAAACTAAGTAGCATCCTGCTCTGAGAAATTCTAAACTGGGGGATTGTTAAAGTACGTATAAGTGCTAAGATTTTAACTTATTTCTAGCTTGTATAATGTTGCAAATGGTCATCTGTAAAGCTATCCATTCACAGCTTTAATACAATAATAAGTAAGGAATGAATGAAATAAAACACTATGGTACAGACCCAAGAGAATGGGTAATTGATACAATAATGATTATGTGAAGAGGCTAAGCAGCTTATCTTTCAAATGGATTGGTATGAAATTTAAAGATGCATACATCTTATCATACAGTCACCTAAGAAAACAAAGTATTTGTTACTTAACCTAGACTGAGTAAATTAGACAGTATTCTCTTCAATTGCTAAAAGAAAAAAAATCCCTAACAATGTATACATTGGATTTTGACTTACTTACAAAATCAGCCGGGGCTGCAAAAGTAAAACTGTGTCTAGATCAATATCACAGGGTGCCACGTTTACATAAAAGAGGCTGGTAAGAAGAGGAGCACCTCCCCTTCTTGAGCTGAATAAATAGTTACTGATAAAAAAAATCTCTTTTATCAAGATCCAGGAAACTATGATAGCGAAGCACATATGAGCTATAATAGTTTAATAGAAAAAGAATTATTTTTAAAATTTTAGGCAGTATCTTTCACAGTCTTCCTTCAGTAAAACTTTTCTTCCTCAAATTTTCAAGGACCATTATAGATATCACTAAATTGTGTTAGAAAAATGTGAAGTATGTAACTACCTAAATGTTCTTTTTGTATGTCTAATTTTTGTCCCTTGCTTCACATAAAAGATAAAAAGGCCTATAAAGTATATTTCTATATTGATCTAGACACAGATCTAGACAACATTCTATAAAGAATGTTGAGTAGTCAACTTAGGGGGGGGAAAACCCATTTGAAACCAATACCTGCACCATGCAGATACTCTATATACAATTAAACCAAAGAATAGTGCAAAAAAGAAGAGAAAGATGTGTGGATAAATTTTCACTTTATAATTGCTCATTGGTGTCCTGTAGTTTTCATAGGCAAACATGTGGATTAGAATTTCATTCTGCTATTGAAACCATTTTGATTTTCAAGCCCAACAATAAATTCTTCCCACGTTAAATACTAACAGAGACTGAAATATAACTTCACTCTATATTAGAAGCCCACATATTCTTTCTCATATTTAAATGAATGAAATGAATAAGTATCTAAAGATATTTATAAAAGAAAAATATCAATTCCTACCTCCATTATCTTTTAGATGTAGTGCTATCTTGGTATCATCTGGAAGAGAAATTCAAAGTTATTGTAACAAAAAAAAATTTAATGGTGCATAAATCTGATGACCAGTAATGGTCTACTAATGCCTTAATTATAACATGAATAGATTTCAAAATCTTACTCAGTTAATTTCTAGTGCAATGAGAGCAAAGTGCTAGTTTACATAGGTACTACTAAAATTGCTTACTAAGATTGCAAGATCAAAACTTTAGTAAAGTATTATAAGATTCTTAAGATCTTGAGAAAAGTACACTGTTATAATTTTAACTTAAAATGAACTTATTTTTAATTTTTGAAAATGACTTATTGCAATTAGACTCTATAGTGATGGCCTTCATTATTCATTTTAAAAAATCAAGATGAGGAAATTCTAAATTAATTGGAAAAGTAAAGATCTGTCAATATTTATGAATTTAACTTCAAAAGTTAAATGCCTATCCATTGCTAATAAATATGACCAAAATCATAAATGAAAAGATCTTGCCCATAATGAATAAAATAAACAAATGAACATGCCTTTTTTTTTCTTATTTCAGTGGTTATATTTTATTCTAAAGAGTAGGATTCAAACTGAAGTAATATTTTCACTGGGTAGGATTCAAACTACAGAAATATTCCACAGGCTATAGAACAACACAAAATAATATGGATTAAAATACAACATTGGTTTTAAAAGCGATAAAATGTATTTAACAGCTGTCCTCATCTCATTTTATAACTTTACAGTTAACTTTTTCTAAAAGATATATTTATTGATTTTAGAGAGAGAGCATGAGTAGGGGGGAGGGGCAGAGGGAGAGAGAGAGAGAATCTCCAGCAGACTCCACAATGAGCATGGAGCCTGACTTGGGGCTTGATCCCATGACCCTGAGATCATGACCTGAGCTGAAATCAAGAGTTGGACGCTCAACCAACTGAGCCACCCAGGCGCCCCTCAAGTTAATTTTTAATGTCCAATTAAATTTCAATTAAAAGCAAAAGTTTCAAGTTTAATTTATTGTTCAAATGAAAGCAAGGTTGATGACCATAAATAAGTATGACCATTTTTTCCCCCCAAAGCTCACTCTTGGCCAACTAGTCTCACATTTGTCCCTAGTGGTACCATTCAGAATATATGGTTATATTTTGGCTGATATACGTTCTTCCCCCAATGAGTTGTGCCCATGAATCAATATTCTCTAGTACTTTTGTCTTCCCTGGCAGAGGAAATGGTTTCCAAGACAATTTCTGTGACACACAGTGGCCCTCTATAGATTATAGACCAACATATCTTATTGTCTGTATTTAGATAAATATAAGAACTGCATATAAGTAGAATTATCTATTTTCTCTATATGCATTTTGCCTTTCTCTTCTGTGACTGAAATGTTGAATTCAGTTACAACAAAATTTAGCAATATAAAAGGAAGTCTATATTTCTTTTTTAGGGAGGACAAATAGCCAGAATCATTAGTAAAAGCTAAATCTTAATAAAAGACACTGTACATTAAAAGAATCCCAACATATATTTTTATTCCATAATAATTTTGTCTTTTCCCCTTTAGAAATCCAGTTTGTCAAAGGATAACTTTCCCTCTACAGAGCTACTCCAGTTCATGTCAACACAGTGACTTTCCCTTCTTTCAGAGAAAAAGCAAGAATATCTAGAGTACCTTCTGTGGGCAGGCTGGTGGGCAGCTGGGATGTCACTGCTCTTCTGGTGGTTGTTAGGACCCTGAATTTTGTGGTTGTTGCTTGTACAGTTGTGGTGGTTTGAGAAGAACTTTCCATTGGCTCCGTGTTCTCACACATCTTCTCTTTGGACTAATAAGAGAAACAAATGGGTAAACAATTTAACAGCGATTGATTGTACATGCATTTAAAAAAATCACATCAAAGAAGAGGAATCTGTTATTTTTGTATAGGACATTATTTGTGGGTTATAAGAATTTACAAAGTATAAAAAATAGATGAGAAAAAATTGGATGTAGCAAAGCATTTCCACCTTTAGATATTTGGATTTCATCATTTCTGCAGTTAACCTTTCATATTACTCTTTATCTTGCCCTAAATTTTATATCGATTTATTTATAAGAGACATGATGCCAAGAGGGAGAAGTTCATACAAGAAGAAAAACGTGTGCAAAAAGATAAGATTTAAAACATGGTTAGGTATGTGGAGAAAGAATGCATTTCAAACCGATTATGCTAAATGCTCCATATGACTTTATTGTTTCAAAAATAATCCACCACAGGTTGAGAGAATATTTAAAATTTTTGTTTTCTTTTATGAAATATTGAAAGCCACCCAAGCAAAAGATTGAATGACCCTCCTGTAATCACTTAGCCTATTTCTCCCTAGCAGAGCTAGACTGAAGACACCAGGAAAAGATGCATATTTTATTTTTTATTTATAGCCCACAAAAATAAATCCTATGACCTTCACCAGCAACAATCTCCAACACCCAAACTTTTATGGTTTAGAAGCTGGTGTTTATCCCCACCTCTTTGTTCTTCAAAGGACTCCATCCCTCTGGTAGGTCTTAAGTAGGGGATAGCTAGTCTGTACCTGGGCGGTACTCCTGCTTTTGAAAAGTATTATTATTAAATAAATTCCTTTCTGAAACTTCTCTTGTCATAAATGAAGTACAACGCGCTTATTACTAGTTCAGCAAGAGCTCCTCAGATGGCTTCCTTTTTCACTAATGGGATATGATACAGGTTTCTTCCCCACTTCAACTCCTAATATCCTAGGGGAACAAAGGTTCCCACATTTTCTCAGCCCAGTGGCCTAATGATCTCCTTGCTGACTCCACAACAGTTATCACCCCCGCAGCCTGGACCTCACAGGCAGTTGGAGATACTTTTGTTCTGAGATCATAGTTGTCCTCTTTTCAGTCTTTCCATGTATCTTTTCAGTCAGATTCTGTTTCTCCTTTGACAACGCAGAAAGCCCAAGTACAATATTTTTCTCCCTTCAATCCCCCTTTCCCCCATCACTTCAACCTTTCTTTCCAATTCCTTCAAATATCTTGCCCTGTTTTGTTTGTTTTTCCACCTTTTCAGGAAATCCCCAATACCAAATGAAGTAAAAAAGCCCGTCTTTTCCCTGCCCTGTAACAAAGCTAGGAGAAGCTGGAGAACAATCACACAGCCCCCGACTGGGAGCTCCATACATTTACCTCCTGCGGCCTCAGCAGGCCTTCCGTGCTGCTTGGCAACACTGCCCAGCTTTGCTGGTCTCCTCTCCCACCATCCTCCATATCAGTTTCAAACCTCTCCACTCTACTGAAAACTATAATCCCAAAATGCCTCTCCCAATCTTACCCCATGGGCTCACCTTTTATTTCCTTGATAAGAGTCATCAGCAAGAATTCTCTACATTTCTTTACAAATCAGCATTCTTGCTTGATTCTGTACGGACTTATCCCTCTTTATTTCTGTAATCATGGATGGGCCCCAGTATTTATAGCCATTCTCTCAACCTCTACTCTGGCCCAACTCAACCCACTTTTTCAGGTATCGTAAACTTGCTCATTTAATACATCCCTTTTCTTCAAAATGTTTTCAATCTCAGGTTTTCCACTGCCTTGTTCCCATTAGCACTTAAACACACTCAATCATGTCCAGTCTTATTTTAAACACTCAGTCCTCCTTCTTTTCCACAATGCATCCTGACATTCCCCTACTTTTCCTTCCATTCAGTCATACTTCCATTCAGTCAGAGATTGGTCTGCCTTGGTCTTCACAGACTCCCACTTTCCCCACCTATGGAATTCTTGTTGTTATCCATTACAAGTTAATTGAAATTTCTTATGCTGGTGGTTCTAATATCTTCTTATGCACAAAATCGTCTATATTCTCCATAACTCACAGCATGGGGCAGAGCTGTCCACTTTCTAGTTTTAGGTTCTGTGACACACTCTCTCACCAATTTTCTGATAGTTTTCTACAACTCCTTTATTTCCTGTTATGTGTTGGTAGTTCTTATAGATCTTTCTTGACTAATCTTTTTGCTATATGCATTCTCACTAGCAATTTCCACCATAGCCATGATTTCAATTCACATCTTCATGTCTATTTACATAAATCGATAGCAACAATACACATCTCTCTCATGGATTTCTGACCCAAATATCCATCTATTGACTTAACTTATGCATGTGGGTGTCACAGACATCTCAAACGCAGTAAGTCTCAAATGGAACTCCTCACATATTATTCTCCTCCTGTGTTTCTATTGTCAAAGACCAGTATTAGCAAACAGCTTAATGTTGAACCTAACATCCTGGACTTGTTTAGCTTATAGCAGTAAAGGCAGATTAAAGACTCTAAATGTGCCTCCTTCTGCAAAACAAGTAGATTCTGGATAAAATATGAATTTTAATTTTTTTTAAAGATTTTATTTATTTATTTAAGAGAGAGAGAGAGCACAAGAGGGGGGTAGGGTCAGAGGGAGAAGCAGACTCCCCGCCGAGCAGGGAGCCCCATGCGGGACTCGATCCTGGGACTCTGGGATCATGACCTGAGCCGAAGGCAGTTGCTTAACCAACTGAGCCACCCAGGCACCCAAAATATGAATTTTAAAGCATTACTAGAATTTGCAGGAAGCAAAGAAAATCTCCAAGGGCACCTTTCTATTGTCTCTCCCCCAAAACAAAACAAAGCAAAAGCTGTGTGCTGTGGAGTAGGAGTCATATACATTAAGCCAGGTAAAAACGCAGGATTTGCCCAGAGGGCAAGGAATGTTAAAAATCAATATTTCTTCAAGGACATCAAGCCTTGTGCCAGCAGTAGATGCGGAGATAAACCTAAACCTCTCCTCTCCATATGAAATAGGGACATATGGTATCCCCTAAAATTCTCAGTTTCTCATCATCAAATTCTTTGGTGGAAAGTACCATCTACTTAGGTCCTTGGGATTCCCATGGAATAGGATCAAATAAAAATGCAATTCTAATTAAAGGACACAAAAAGAAACACAAAAAGAAAAAGAACACTGACAAAGTCAGCAAAAACAATGAACAACATATTTAAACTACCAAAATCTTTAGATATTGTGATCATCCAATGTAAGATACACAAAAAAGTTATATATGAAATATTTAAAGAAATGAAAGGTAAAATTTAAAAATGAACTAGTAACCCAGACTACAAAAATGTCTTGGCAGATTATTTAATAAAGTGTAAAATTTAAATCTTAGAAATGAAAAATATACTTTTTGAAATTACTACTTCAATGGATATGTTAAATCGTGGATTAAATGAGGTAAAGACAGAATTAATAAACTGGCAAATTGATCTGAAGAAACTCCCCAGGATGAAACACAGAGAAATAAGAAGATAGATGATATAAAAGAGGACTTTCACAGTCCTCATTTCCATTCAGCTGCCTACCTACTGATCCTTCCCCTACCTGCTCTGTGGTCACCATTACCCTACCCACTGATGCAGGCCAGATCATCAGCATCATTGACCTGGGTTTTAACTATAGTCAACTTCTTGGCTTCTTGCCTCATAACCTATTATTCACCCATAGCCAAGGTGATTCTTCCAAAAGGCCCTGATTAAAAGCCTTTCCCTTGCCTTTATTTTTTTTTAATTAAGGTATAATATATACACATAGCAGTATATTAGTTTCAGGTGATGACATAATGATTTGATATTTTTTATACATTGCAAAATGATCTCCACAATAAGTCTACTTTACATCTGTCACCATACATAATTGCAAAAAGTTTTTTTTTGTTGTTGTGATGAGAATTTTTAAGATTTACTCTCAGCAATTTTCAAATATGCAACACAGTATTATTAACTACAGTCACCATGCTGTATGTTACATCCTCAGGACTTATTTATTTTATAACTGGAAGTTTGTCCCTTTTGAGCTCCTTCTGCAATCTCACCCACCCTAACCACCCATCTGTTCTCTATCCATGAATTTGGGTTTTGGTTTTGGTTGTTGTTTTGCTTAGATTCCACATATAAGTGAGATCATACAGTTTTTGTCTTTTCTGTCTGACTTATTTTATGCAGCATAATGCCCTCAAGATTCATCCATATTGTGACAAATGGCAAGATTTCCTTCTTTTTATGGCTAAATAATGTTCCAGTGTGTGTGTGTGTGTACATTCATATATATACACCACATTTTCTTTATCCATTCATCCATCAATGGACACTTAGGCTATTTCCATATCTTGGCTATTGTGAATAATGCTGCAATGAACATGGAGGTGCTGTTATCTTTTTGAGTGAGTGTTTCATTTTCTTTGGCTAAATACCCAGAAGTGGAACTGCTGGATCATATGGTAGTTCGATTTTTAATTTTTCGAGGAAACTCCATTCTTCCCTTGTCTTTAGGATGAAGCCCAAACTCCTTCAACTTGTCACATTTGGGGCTCTGTTCACCTCACCAATCTCAGTTCTTACCACTTCTCTTCTCAGCTCCAGTTGCCCTTCAGGCATCATCTCAAATATCTCCTCCTCAAGCAAACTTTCCCTTATGCTACTTAACAAGACAACATCCTTATCGTTACTCTCTGCTCATGTCCTTCTCTAAATGCAGTCCTTTGTTCAGTGGTCTAGCTACCTGCTGGACACAATTACTCCATTTTTACATTATCCGTGCTTAGAATAATACATAGTAAGTGTCTATATTAGGATTTGCACTTATGGAGTAAATTCATCTCACAGGATCAGAAAGAAAATTTAACTCTAGTTTTAGGCACAGAGGATGTACAGGAGTTGGTGACTTTATTTTAATAGAAGGATAGAATTGCTCACCACAAAGCCACTAATATTGACAATTTAATTACATAATT